AGACCTACAACCAAGATTACTCTACCCAGCAAAGCTATCATTTAGAATTGAAGGTCAGATAAAGAGCTTCACAGACAAGAAAAAGCTAAAGGAGTTCATCACCACCAAACCAGTATTATATGAAATGCTGAAGGGTATTCTTTAAGAAGAGGAAGAAGAAAAAAAAGGTAAAGATAAAAAATATGAAAAACAAAGTGGCAACAAATACATCTCTATCAACAATTAAATCTAAAAATAAAATGAATAAAAAATCTGATGAACAGAATAAACTGGTGAATGGAATGGAGTCAGGGGAATGAAAATGGAACAGACTGATGATTCTCAGAGGGAAGTGGGTGTGGGGATGCGGGAAGAGATTAGACAAAGATCTTATATGCAGGTATGCATTACCTATGGACACAGAAAATAGGGTGGAGAGGTCCTAGGGTGGGGTGGGAACAGGGTGGAGGGGAGCTATGGGGGGGAAAAGAGGAACAACTGTAATAGCCTGAACAATAAAGATTTAATTTAAAAAAATATATTGATATTTTACAGAGACGAAGGGAGAGGGATAGAGAGTTAGAAACATCGATAAGAGAGAAACATTGATCAGCTGCCTCCTGCACGCCACCTACTGGGGATGTGCCCGCAACTAAGGTACATGCCCTTGACGGGAATCGAACCTGGGACCCTTCAGTCGGCTGGCCGACGCTCTATCCGCTGAGCCAAACCAGTTAGGGCTCCTCAAATTCTTTTTGCCTTTGATGCCTCACTTTATTCCTCACTTGCATCCTCATTCATAATTACCAACTCCTGCTGCTTATGACAGATCTACTCATTGGGAACTGCACTCAAGCACAGTGTGAGGATGCTCTGTCACTCACTGCTGTCTTGCCTCAACAGAAAAACATCTCTGGATTTTCTGCCCCTTCCTCAGCTGCAGCTCTGTGACTGTAGGGATGTACACCTTTGAGGATCCATCCAACTGGCAGTCATGACTGCTTGGCTCATTGGTCACAGTTCTCCACAAATCGCCTGCATGCGTGTGCACTTGGCCCTCACGTTGTTCATGTCACACCCTCTCTGCTAACTTGCCATGTGAACCTGCTGCTCATGCTGCTGAGGTTGCCCTTGTGGATGTTCAATATCTTGTTTAATCAAGGATGATGGTTTATGTCGCTACATGACCTTCTCCAGTGGACCTGTCTCATAGGGAAGCTTGGAATAGGAAGGGGGACTGGTAATTCCTTAGGAGGAGGAGAAGGGCTGGCACTACCAAGAGTAAGCATGTGATGCCCCAAGCCCAGCACAGAGAGATGCATCAGATAAAGAACTGGAGAGCAGTTTGGTTTTTAACAATCGTTTGCAGCTAAGGGAAGTGAGGCAAGGCATCACTTCCTAAAAACTATCTCACGTTCTTATTACTTAAGTGCTAAGAATACTAACTTCTACTTGGTTGGCTCCTTTCTCTGTTTCCACAGATCATACTACTATATTTGGGTATGTCCAAAGATAATGAACAAGGCAAAGCAGAAACTTTACTGTAGCTATTCATTGAGTTCGTTATAATATGGACACGTGTAAATGAAAATTACTGATTAAATTCCAATAAATTCTGGATAACATATCTCAAAATAATGAAACGCTATTTGTAACATGTCACTGATTTTAAGAAACACATCAGTGAATTACTTCTATTATATTTCACAACATTAACATTTTTTCATCCTGCCTTTCTCTATTACTAAAATGCTTACCTAATACGCCCACATGGTAGTGGACTTAACACCTGCTGGTCAACCTCTGCTGCACTGGTGTAGTGATTCGAGGACATCAGAACCTCTTCTGCAGCTTTCATATCAAAAACTGCAGTAAATGATTTAATAGGAAGTTTCCAAAAATGCTCTTAACAGGGTTTGGTGGATGAAGCTGCCTTTGGCTCACTGTGTCCCCAACATCACTGGCAGACTGACTGCCTGGCCCCAAATGGTCTGGCGCGTGATGCAGCTGTGGGAAAGCTGGAGCGAAACAGGGAGTCCAGGGGAGGCCCAGGGACTGAGGAAGGAAGGCTCCCAGACCTAATTCATACCAGCTCTAATTTGCGGCCTTGTCTACAACCAGAGAAATCGTCTATGGTTCTGCATTGCCAGACTCTAAGAAAACTCCCCCAATGTCTCTTTGCCCAGTGCAAAGAGTCTTGAGCTAACCTCACTGTCATTTTGAATCAGTGCCGACACAGAGCATCACAGCCAACCATTCTCCTCCACAGCGTATTACAACAGGGAAACGGGAGAGAAGTGTTAAGGTCACTATATGTATTTTTTAAATATATTTTTATTGACTTCAGAGAGGAAAGGAGAGAAAGAGATAGAAACATCAATGATGAGAGAGAATCACTGATCGGCTGCCTCCTCACACACCCCACTGGGGATTGAACCTGCAACCTGGGCAAGTGTTCTGACTGGGAATCAAACAGTGACCTCCTGGTTCATGGGTCATCACTCAACCACTGAGCCACACCAGCCAAGTACTATATTTTTTAAACACCTTTGCGGGAGCAGCAAGCCCACTTCCCAAATACTCAATAAACAAAGGTTTTAATTCTTAACAAACAATAAGAGAGAAGCTCATCTCAGAACAAGCTGCCATTTCACTAAAATTGCAGGAAAAGTGCTGGCATCGGAATTAGGTGCTTCTTGCTTAATATAGCTCCTCTGACAGAACTTGGTCCTATTTCTCTCGCCCCCCGATTGCTCGCAGGGTGCTTGTTTACCTCCTTCAGGTCCTGCACCACCGCGGTGAGCCTCTCGTTCTCTGCCTGTATGTTAGTGACCACGGCCCGGCTCTGCTTCAGTTCGTTCTGCATCTCCAAGATCTTCCCCAGGTAGTAAGCTTCCTTCGAGGCTGACTCCTGCAGCAGCGTTTCTTCCCGAGTCTCTCCATCCTCAGCAACTTTCCGGTGGATGGAGAAGGACTGCCCAAAGGCCTGCAGAGCATTTGAAAAGAAAAAGAGTACACAGTGAAATGCCCCATAAGAATGCTAGGAAACAGGCTTGGGGAAATGCTTTGCTTGTAAGAAGAGCTGATCTGCAAGACCTCCAGAAGCAAAACTACATTTTTTATAGAACAGTCTAGCAGCTTTCATTGATACTTAATTCAAATTCAATTAATAAGGAAAAATAATTTTTAAATGTCTTGCTAAAATATATATAAATATATATATAATGGGTTAAAGAAAACCTGAAAAACATTGCTGCTTAAACATTGCTGCTTGCTTTAAGTTACCTTTTAAAAAAAAAAACAAATCTAAGAAACAGATAGTTCAGTGCTAATGAGCTCATCCAAATTCATGTTCTCATTTTCATTCTAGAAAAAAATCCCCCAAATGTTTTTCAAGGAAGAAAGCAATAATTTTATTAGCTTTCTAATATATTAGCAGTAAGGATATACCAATCTTGAGCAGTAGTACTCTTATGACAAAAATCATCAAACAGCATTCAAATTGCCTGGTACCACAAAAAGACTTTGAAATATAGTCAATGTATAAGAAGACATATAGGTAGCTACTTATTTCTGCAAAAAGAAAAACAGAATAATAAATCAGGAACTAATGAAATGGGTGAGTGAGAAGGGGGTAGAAAGAATGGGGGAATGAAATGTGATACAAATGGTGGGGGTGGCGCTTTTCTGAGTATGCCTTCTCATATGATTCTGACTCTTAGAACTAAAGTAATGTTTCACATACCTCCCCAATAAATGATAATTAAAATCAACCTCCATGTGTCAGGGGAACCCAAATGAAGCACAGACAACCAATGATCCTAGCTGTATTGCAAATGAACAACATAATTACACTAAAAGGGGTGGAGAAGAAAAGACCTAATCTGAATAAATTTTGGAAATCAGTATTTTTACTATATATTACAAAGCTAAACACAAAACGAACTGTACCCTAACACTACTGTCTAGTTCATATATTTTTTCCTCACAAGAATTATGAAATCACAATTCTGAAACTTTTTGTTGTTGTTGTTGTTAATACTCACCCGAGGATATATTTCCATTGATCTTTTAGAGAGAGTCGAATAGAAATGGAAAGACAGAGAGAAACATCTATGTGAGAGAAACACATCGATTGGTTGGCTCCTGCATGCGCCCCAACTAGGGCCTGGGCCAGGGAGGAGCCTGCAACCAAGATATGTGCACTTGACCAGAATTAAACCAGGGACCCTTTGGTCCACAGGTCAATGCTCTATCCACTGAGCCAAACCAGCTAGGGCTGAAACTTCTCTAGATGTAAACAAGAGTTGAGCAAATAAGTAAATATAATACAGATAATGAAAGCCAGATCTCTCACTGTTGGAGAAAGAAGTTACAAACAAGGAAGGGGAGACGTCTAGAAAGAAACTAGTGGTATTGGGTTCCAATTAGAAACGTCAGGATGAACTTATAGTCTTTAATAGGTAGATAAATATTGATAGATAGATAGATAGATAGACAGACAGAGGAAGAGAGGGGTTTATATGTGTTTACATACATATACATACTTCCTAGCTTTGTCAACTGCGAGGGCATAGAAGTAATGACATATCAGTAGCAATGAGCAGACCTTGCACCCAAATTTTGTTCCTAAATATTAATCTCCAATGAAAAGAACTAGAGGTATTTGGAGAAATGACCAATTCTTGGGCTGGAGCAAAATGATCTTGGTACATCTTGTGGTACCAAAAGATTAAGTAACAAAATACCTTTTTTAAATGATGGGGCTATGTCAAGAGACACAAGAGCCTACCTGAAGGGGCTCCCATGGCCAAAGATGGGATAATGAGGGCAACAAAATAAATGTGGCAATGAATTATAATACATAGAATAAAGTAAATATCCACGAGTCCACATTGATATAATAACTGAATAAATGAGGGAAGAAATAGCTCTTATAGAATTCTAATTAATAAATTTGAAGGAATGATGGGAATACCATCTGGCAAACACCAAGTAATAACTGTTGCAGGTAAGAATTATCAGTGGAGCCCTGACCGGTTTGGCTCAGTGGCTAGAGCATTGGCCGGTGGACTGAAGAGTCCCAGGTTCGATTCCGGTCAAGGGCATGTACCTTGGTTGCGGGCACATCCCCAGTAGGGGGTGTGCAGGAGGCAGCTGATCAATGTTTCTCTTTCATGGATGTTTCTAACTCTCTATCCCTCTCTCTTCCTCTCTGTAAAAAATCAATAAAATATACTTTTTTAAAAAAGAATTATCAGTGGAATATAAAATTAACAGGTAAAAAGTATGATGAGAAACAGGACATCTGCACAGTCTTAAAGCATCTTCTCCCAATAATTAGACTACAAGCAATGAGACATATTGACATCATGTACCCTCTGATATAATCCACTGAGAGAGCACAGCATCACTTCTGTGATACTCTTGCCAAACATGCATAAGCCAATTCTTAGCGTAAAGAAATAAAATAAACCCAAACTGGGAGACATTCTACAGATTATCTGGCCAGGACTCTCCCAAGTATTGAAGTTAGGAAAAATGGAAAAGACTCCTCCAGACTAGATGAGAATAAGGAAACATGACAATTAAATGCACTCTGGGGGCCTGGACCTACAAAAAGACAATATAAAACAATTGGAAAAACTGAAATAAATTACTCCTATTGGTTAATATTATTATATCAATGTCCATTTTGTTTCCATAATTAGGTTATGATTATGTAAGATGTTAACATTTGGAGAAGCTGTGTAAAGGGTACAATGAAATTCAGTGTAGTATTTTTACAACTTTTTTTCTGCGTCTAGAGTTATTTGAGAATAAGTAAGTATAATCTCTGCCCTAAAGAAATAGATAGATCTGCTAAAATACTGGCACATAGGGTTATAAAAAATGTATGTGCGCAAACTCCAAAGGGATACTATATTCAGTTAGAAGTACTATGGCTTTATTATGTAACGTGTGCTATTACATTTTGAGATTTAAAATGTCGTAAGATGATGCTTCTGGGCTATGTATAGTCCATGAGGAAATAAGGCAGGAATGAACCTCTGAAACTCAGTTTCACACTTGTTACAAACCTGAAGGCAGAAAAGGTATGTGTTAGTCATTATAAGGACATCGTAAAAGTCAGGAGGAGACAGCTTGATTTAGTGATTCCAAAGACAATCTGGCACTCTTCTCCAAATTGAACTCATAGAAACAGAAATTTTAAAAAATACTAACCTGAAAACCCATGTCTCAATAAACTATCTCCCTTAAAATCTCGACATGGATCAAAGTTAAAGGGTGGTTACTAAGCATCAACTAAGGAAGAAATATTCCAGGATCGATGTTCACCTGTACAGAGCGAGCTACTGCTGGTGTTAGGCTTTCAGTCTCTGGACAGAAATTATTTGAGAAGCCAAATTTCCACATGTGGTAAAAAGCACACTGACTCATGAATAGATGAAAAATTATTTTTGGAAATGATGTTTACGTTACTTTTCCATCAGTAGTGGTCAGATTCTGTGAGGTCAAGTCTGGATTCACTACATCAAAAGGCCTTTGAAGGCAGGGGAGAGAGTTCTGGAAGCAATCTCCCCACGTGACCTGGGAAAGTCTTCAGCAGACTCTCCCCAGCAAAGGAACCCTGATTCTATAGTCAAGTATCAGGACAATTTAAAATTAGCATGGCCTGGCTGGTGTGGCTCAGAGGTTGAGTATCAACCTATGAACCAGGAGGTCACAGTTTGATTTCTGGCTTGGTCC